AACACACACACAAACACACACACACACACACACGCACACACACACATACAAACACACACACACACACACAAACACACACACACACGCAAGTGTAAAGCCTGTTGCCGCTTTCCGGCCAGGCGCGCCGGCCTTCCGGGTTTTCAGTCTCTGACTGGAATTGCTGCAAACTCAATCCCTTCTTGAGGATCACCAGGCACGTGTACTGGGCAGTATTACAATGGTTTGCTACTACGTGGGTACGCTCTACGCGCCTGTATATTGGAACACACCGCCACAGTGTACCTCGTAATGATCCCTAGCCAAACGTGCCGCTGCGCTTTCGGCAGGGCCTGCGCCTTTCGGCGGTTCGTTGATGTGGTGGGTGCGTTCTTGCGTCATCCCGACAGCTGCGGCGAGACGGCAAGATGCAAAACAATGCTAGGATGCGGGCGTTGGATAACTCCATCTGGGATGCGCGTGCACCGCCAGCGGTACAGCTAGCTACTCATCGGCAACCGTGCAGCAGTGGCAAGGCCCTAGCTCAAATCTAAACTCTGTACTGCGACCCTCAAAGCCAACTTATGTGGACAACCCGCATACAAAAGCAGGCAGAATCTGTGCAGGCAACAAAGCCGTCACTGCCGCCGCTAAAATGGGCTCCTGCGGATGACGCCTCCGTGCCTCTCTCCTGCTCTCATGACAATGCAGACCGCGCTGCCTGCTGCCCAGCGGCGGCCCTCACGCGCGGCAGCCAACTGGAGGCAACACGCACCGCCTGGCTGCGCCTACTCCCACTCGTCGGGGATGACCGCGCTCACCACCTTGGGCGTGCACGCGTCCCCGCGGCCCCGCGCCTCGGCCGACACGCAGCCGCCGAGCGCGACGAGCGCCCTCGCCAGCCGGTGGTCGGCCACCACGAACTTGCACCGCTCCTCCTTGCCCCCTTCCCCCGCCGTGCCCCGATATCCGGCCTCCAGCGTCGCCCCCGCGGGCAGGCAGTCCTCGAGCAGCCCAGGGCCGGCCTTGCCGCAGCGCCCCCCGAGCGTCCGCCAGAGCGTGGGGCCGGGCGGAAGCTGGCGGAAGCTGCCGAGCGGCGCCGGGAGTTCCGAGGGCGGGAGAGTCGGGACGAGGTCGAAGCCGTTGACCCACCGATAGGTCTCGTTTCCGAATCGACGCATGTACTGTTTTTCGGGGGCGATGCGTGTGTGGGAATGCGAGGTGTCAGTGCCTGAGTTAATAGGACACACAGCAGAAGTTTTCATGAGTGGCGGCTTGTGATGATAGCGGAGCAGCAGTTTTGCTGAGGCACTTCTGGCCGCCGCTGCGCCGCAAGCGGGTCAGGGTCCACTATGCACGCTGCTACAAACCCCACCTCACAATGCAGGCGCCGGGGCCGGGGCCCTCGCGTCATCAAACAGGGCCCCCCACCTCCTGCGTGAACGCCTCGTCGCCGGTCTTTGGCGCCGCATACGTCCACACGCCCCCCACCCGCGCGCCGTTGCCGGCCAGCGCGAGCGCGGCGAGCGCGGCGTGCGCGCCGCCGAGCGAGTGGCCCGTTATGAAGACGCGCGCCGCGTTGGGGTCAGCCACCGTCCCCTCGAGCGCCTTGGCGACTTCGGTGCCGACGCGGGGGTAGATCGCCGCGAAGGACGCCAGGAAGCCGCCGTGCACCTGCATCACCGGCCCGGCGCCGCCCTTGCCCGAGGTGATCTTGAACTGCGCGACGTGGGCGTTGGCCGCCCACCCCGCCGTCGACGACGTGCCTCGGAACGCGACGAACACGTCCGAGGTTGTGGCGGCTATCACGGCGTGGCCGCCGGTGTCGTCGTCGTCCGCGAAAGCGACAGAGGCGGCGCCGAGCGCGGTCCAGCGGGAGCGGACGCTCGACTCGTAGCGAGGGCCGCTGTCCTTGGATTTGGCGCCGCGCCCCAGCACGTTTTTGGGGTAGGCGTCGCTGCGAGGCGTTATCAGGGGTGGGGCGGCGCCGGCGGGCGCGTGCACCCGGGGGGCGCCGATCAGCGTCGAGGCGGAAGGGGCAGCACCAGCCGCAGGCGCCTGGTGCGCTGACGGCCCGGCAGGGACGGTTTTCTTTCCACTGGCGTGTGTGGGGGGGTCGGGGAGTGCTACGAATGGCGGCGCTCCTAGCTGACCCATCCTACAGTTTAATCAATCAACTGCCTGCCATTATGGCTCCACTCTCGGCTTCGCTCACGTACCTGGAAAGGAGCGCCATCAAAAAGGCGTTTCGCAGCGAGTCGATGTGCTGCTTGTCGAAATCAGACAGCAGCGCCCCGCTGCAGGCGCCGATGCCGACCACGCCGGCTCGGTTGCCATGCGCACTGCCTGCGGGCACGCACACATCAGGGATGATGAGGATAATGTTAAACTTTGAATTGTTTTGTTTTACTGTCCTGGTTGCCGTAAGATGGTCTTTTCTCTCGCGTCACCGGGAGGCTGAAACCGGCACATATCGCTCTCGACGCGCACCTGCTGCCAAGAGACAATGCACCAGCACTGATATGATATAAGCTATTCGCATATTGATATCGCGTTGTGCTGGCGTGGGGGCCTTGTAGCTAGTGGCCCGAGTCGCGCGCCTCGCGGACGGTCAGTGTTTGCCGTGTTTGTGACGCCTTAGATACCACTACAATGCGTCAAAAGACTTGACTACTCCATTTAATATCACCAGCATCAAACCAGCAAAAGGTTTGACACACGCGCTGTTGCAGCTGCTCGTTGCTGCCCCAGCAGCGCTCGCTCGGCGGTGACGGGTGACACTGACACAGTAACCACCACGGGTCATATCCTCTGATAGCTGTTCTATTGACCACGAGCACTCTTCTGTTCAATAATGTTCATCACCGAAACTCTCTGTTCTCCAGTCGCCGTTTGCGTGAAACCTCTACGGTACCTGCCAGTTGGCGTTTTGTGCACACCAGCAGGCTTGGGAAGGAACGAAGATTTCAGTCTTCTGAGCGTGGCTCCTCTGTGTGCGCACAGTGTTACACATGATGTGCCTGCATGTCCAATGGCGCATTCAGGCGCCAATGCAATGACGGGCGGAGGGCAGCGCCCTTCAGTAACAACACAGCAAGCGAGAAGCGGCGCGTCTGCAAACGTGCCAAGTGGCGAGGCGATGGTTCAAGCGCGCTGCCCCGAGCCGGCCCGCGCGGGAATAGCGTGTGCACAGAGGCTAGGAAGCCCGCGCTGCGCCGTGCGGCGTGCAGAGCTCGTCGCCTGGCATCATTCGGTTGTTGCGGCGTGCGTTCCAAGCTATCGCCGGCGGGCACCCTGGTTGCGGTTCGCGTGCAGCAGCGTAAGCTGCTGCGTATTAAAGCCGATGCCGTCGCGGCGTGAAACGCCCCACTCTTGAGAGGCTCTCGCACGCACGGCGCGCCAGGAGAGTAGCACTCCAAGCAAGAACCGCGGCCCCGCTGCGCGCGCGCGCCGCAGAGCCAGGAGCTGGCCGGCGCGAGCCTGGGCTGGGCAGCCCGCCGGGCGCCGCCCGCCGGCGGCTCCAAGGCGGACGGCACGCGTGCGCCCAGCCGAGCGGTCAATTGGGAACGAACGCGCTTTGGGGCCGGCGGCCGCTGTAGCCACATGGCGCGATTGCGCTGTGCTGTGCAGTGCGGTGCTGTGCAGTGAGGTGCTGTGCAGTGCGGTGCAGCGCGGTGCAGTGCAGAGCATTGCCGTGCAGTGCAGCCCCGCAACGAGGACAGGCAGGACTGAGTAGGCGCCCGCTGTCGCCGACGGTGCCCAGTGCCAATCATGTGGGCGGGATCACACCCCGGGCAAGCGGTGATCAAGGAAGGCGTTGTGGACTGTGCGATGCGGCAAAACACGCCGCGGGTGTGGACGAAAGAGGCGCGCAGAAAGGCAAGTCCCCCTGCCTGCCTGCGGCACTGGCGGGCGGTAAGGCAGCAGCGGTGGCGGCGGGCAGCAGCGAGATCGGTCGAGAGAAACAGTGAGAGGTTCGATTGACATCGCCAGGCGCTTGGCCTGCGCGCACGCCCCCGTTCTCCCCTGACAGATCCCCTGTGCGCGCGCCGTTGTGCGGATCGGCCCGGATCGTTGCTTGGACATCGTGTGTTCGGGGTCATCACCGCAATCAAGTCAGACCAGACGAGTGTACAGATGCGTGGGAGCGAAAACGTGTGCGGCATCCCCAGTCGCCTGCTTTGCGCGCTGCGCTCACTCCCGCCGCTGTGTTTTGCCGGCAAGGCGGGAGCGCGCGCGCACACGCACACGCACGCGCACACACACACACACA